AACCCAGGCCACCTATATGCCCCCTCCCCTCTTTTCTCTGCCAACTCTCTATCCCCCACATTTTGTACCTCATAAGCTAGGCACGATAATCAAATTCACATTACCATCCCTTCATGAAAGAATGTGTCAGTTAACTGCCCAATGGATTAATTCACCATCCCCATGATTTCTCAGAACATAAAGCCTTTACATGACCACTACTGTTGTTCAGTCGTTTCAATCATGACCCCATTTGGGGTTTTCTTGGCAAAGATACTATGGTGGTTTGCCATTTCCTTCTCCAACTCATTTTATAGATGAGAAGCTGAGGCAAAGAGGGTTAAGTGACTTGCCCAGGGTCACATAACTAGTAAGAGTCTGAGACTGGATTTGAACTCATGAAGATGAGTATTCCTGATTCCCAAGGCTCTATCCACTCACCCTGACCACAACCCTGCCCTGCAATATGTGCTGTCTCCACCAATTAGAATGCAAGCTCTTAGAGGATGAGGACTACTTCACTTTTCACTTTTGCATTCCCAGTGCTTAGTGTAGCTTCTCACACTTAGTATGTGATTGATAAAAGCTTTTTCATTGATTGATTCAGTCATACATGAAGTTCTTCAGATGCCCCTTTTGGTGAATGCCATTGTAACTCATTGCATAAAACTCCAGGTACTCCAGGCAGTCCTCAGTGAGATTCATGACCAATTGGAAGAAATTGGTTTAACAACCCACATAGGAAAAATCAAGTGTATTAAGAACACTTCTGTTATATGAAATTCAGTTCGAGTCAACATTTGTAAGTATCTGCTGTGTGCCAGATTCTGTGCTAAAAAAAAAAAGAGTGCTGGATATAAAGATGAAAATAAAACTTTCTTTGCCCTTGAGAAGCTTATAGTTTATAGAGGGAAGTGGGGTTCTATACATATAGAAAAATAATACAAAATATGTAAAAAGTAATTTAATTATACTTTAGATACATTTACACACATATATAAATAGGAATAATATGGATATCTAGTCAATCGACAAGCATTTATTAAATGCCTGCTATGCGACAAGGATTGTTAATCTATGAAGATAAAAAGAAAGTCCCTACCCTCAGGAGGCTTACATTCTAATGTGTAATTAAATGTATACATATAAGATACATACAAAGTAAGTGGGAAGTAACTTTTCAAGGGAAGGCTGAATGCATTATACATTTGTAGGGGGGGTACCCTTTGATTGCCTTTCCCTCTGTCCCCTTTTGAACATGCTTGATTACCATTTGTGATGACCACATTGAAGCTGGGCGGGGAGAAAACTGTGGTGGGAGGAACAAGATTGCAACCATGTAGGACTCATTTTTTGGTTATCCCCTAATTGGCTGCTGAGCTGGAACTCCATAGATAGGCTAAAGGGATGACCTGCCCCTGGTCTATCTTAGCTGGCTCCCTTATGCCTTCAAAATGTAAGCAAGTGTCCCTGGGGAGGCAGTGGCTGACAAGTATGGAGAGCAAGCCAAGGGGATTAGTCACCCCTTTTCTAGCTCAATAGCCAATTAAGAGATTCAGTGATGAATTATACATGGCCAGAAGCTGGTCCCTAGGCATCCATATGGTAACCAAAAATGACCTGAGCATCCTCCAAAAGGGAGGCAGGGAGAAGGGTACCCAGTACACAACAGATAATACAAAGCAAATGGGGGGTGGGGCATAGACAATGGAATTAATTTGTCAATTCTTGTCTCAGGACAGACACTGAATATGCCCAATGAGTTGAGCTTAAAATGGAGTAGGAGAAAAAAATAGGCTTGATTGTTTTTTGGAAACTGTTTTTTTGGAAACTCAAGCTGTTGTTTGTCACAAAAATCCATCTTTTAACACTAGTAATTTTCCAGTGATATAATATGGCTACAAATCATGGAATACTACAATCTCTGAGAAGCCAAAATTGTGGTTGACCCCAAGAAAAAATGAGACATATGGTGATACTGGTGGGGTGGGTTGTAAGCAGGTTGCAACATATTATGAATAACTACATAAATGAATGAATGAAAGGCATTTATTAAGCATTTGCTATGTGCCAAGCACTGTGTCAGGCACTGGGAAAAAAATGCAAAAGCAAGACAGACCTTGCCCTCAAAGAGCATACATTCTAACGGGGGAGACAACAGATATAGGGCAACAAAGGCCATGAAAGAGAGTTAAGGTTTCAGAAGTCACAAAGATGGTAAGTAGAACAATAAGGCAATACATTCATATGTCCTTTCCAGAGGTACTGTTATTTGATTATAATTCTTAGAGTAAGTGGTGGAAAATGGAGGTGGGGATTTGTATTCAAGGCGCAGTATAATGGATATTATCTAAGAAAAGAATGACTGGAAAAAAAAAGGTGAGATGGTCCAGTAGTAATAGATGACCCACAAAATGAAGTGGTATACATGGAAAAGGTCAGAAAATCCAGAGGAAAGCCTCCAGTCCATTTGTTGAATTTTCAAAGAAGGATTTATGGTAGAACATGATCAAGAATCATATAAGATAAGAAGACATGAATTGGTTGCCATATGAGCCAAGGGAAGAAGTAGACATATCAGATTGTGAATCCATTGAAGAACTGAAACCATAGAGACTTAAAGCCTTCCAGCGGTCTTACCAATACTTGCTGTTGGTCACTGTGAGGATCCCAATTAATGTCTTAGATGCTTCACTACAAAGAGGAGATCTAATCCAATCTGTACCATCTTTATGACTGTGAAATAAGAAGTCCATATTCATATCCTGGGTGGTGGTCTTTCATCTGTGTTGCCGATGGACAGAAAAGTAATAGTAATAACACTTTATATTTGTGAAAACACCTTTACAACCACCATTTTATTTGATTCCTAGAAAACTATGAATTGGAAGGGATCTAAAGGTCATAAAGTTTAGTCCTCCGCCCAGTGGATAAATTTTTGTTGTTCAGTCGTTTTTAAGTCATGTGTGACTTTTCTTGACCTTTTTTGGGATTTTCTTGGTGAAGCTATTAAAGTGGTTTGCCATTTCCTTCTCCAGATCATTTTATAGATGAGGAACTGAGGCAAACAAGGTTAAATGACTTGCCCAGGGTTATACAGTTAGTAAGTGTCTGAGGCCAGATTTGAACTCACAAAGATGAGTCTTCTTAACTCTAGGCCTAGCACTCTATCTATCTACTGCACCATCTACCTTCTAATAACAACCTGGACAAGAAAGTATCTCACTCTTACTCAAAGATAATGACCCTGTGTGGTCAATAGGTCTTTATAATATTGGTTCCATTATATAGATGGAGAAACTGAGGGTCAGAGAGTTTGAAGTCACAGAATTATAAAGGACCTCAGAGGCAATCTAATTCAGTCTATACCTGACCAGAAATCCATTCTACTACATCCCTGACCAGTGGCCATTCAGTCTTCTTTTGATAAGATTCCAGGGAGGGGGAAACCCAATACTTCTGGAGACAGCCCTTTTGGATAAGGGTCAAATTGTCAGGAAGTTTTCCCTCACATCCAGTCAAAATTGGCTTCTCTACAATTTCCACCCATTGGTACTAGTTCTGGCCTCTGAAGCCAAGTAGAATAAATAGAATTCCTCTTCTACATGACAGTCCTTCAAATTCTTGAAGTGACTTGTCCAAGGTAACTCAGCTAGTAAGTAAGTAGAGGGACTGGGATTCTAACCTCATTCTAATCCTGGTAGTTTAGTGCCCTTTCCCCCGTAAAGCTCTACTCCCGTCCGGCAGGTCTGAAACCTTTTTTTCCATTAATTATTTCCAGAGTTCTTAGGTGTGCAGTAAATGGAAAGTACATGATACTACCTATCCCATCTCCAGGTATTTTCATTGGCTGTCCCCCTTGCCTAGAATTTTCTCCTTCATCTTCACCTCCTTAACTCACTGACTTCGTTCAAACCCCAAGTAAAACCCAGCCTTCCACAAAACCCCATTCTCCATCCTTCTTAATGTTGGTGCCTTTCCTCTGTTAATTATCTCCAACTTAGCCTGTCTATATTTCATTTGTACATAGATGGTTTTAGGGTTTTTCCCAACTAGATGGTAAGCTTCTTGAGAGCAGGGACTGCCTTTTTGTCTTCCTTTGTATTCCTAGTGCTTGTTAACTAACTGACTGAGTTTAGGTGACACTTTGATTTTGGAACAAGAGGAGAGAACAACTAATCAATCAGTCAACAAGCATTTATCAAGCATTTATTATGTGTCAGACACTGTGCTAAGCTCTGGGGATATAAAGAAAAACAAAAATGCAGTCTCTGATCTCAGGGAACTCACATTATAATAGGGGAGAAAATTTGTAAACATTTATGTACCTAACAGATAGATGGATAGATAGATAGATAGATAGACAGACAGACAGACAGACAGACAGGTAGATAGATAGATAGATAGATAGATAGATAGATAGATAGATAGATAGATACATGGATAGTGGAAAGTAATCTCAGAGGAAAGGCACTAGCAGTCAGGGGGAAGGTGGTTGGTGCAAAGGGAGAGGACTGATCAGGAAAGGCTTCTTACAGAAGATAAGGTTTGAGATGAGTATTAAAGGGAGCCAGGAAAACCCAGTAGGCAGAGGTGAGGAGGAAGAACATTCCAGCCATGGGGGACAGCCAGAGAGAATGCCTGGAGCTGAAAGATATAGTGTCTTGTTCATGGAACAGCCAAGAGGCCAATGTCACTGGATTAATGTCACATAGATTACATGGAGGGGAGCAAAGTGTAAGAAGACTAGAAAGACAGGGGAGGGCCATGTTATGAGGGGCTTTATATGTGAAACAGGATTTTATATTTTATTCTGGAGGTTAAAGGCAGCCACATTTTATAGAATGGAATGACATAGTCATACCTGCACTTTAGAAAAGTAGCCTTGGCAGCTGAGTGGAGAATGGATTGGAGTAGGGAGAGATTTAAAGCATAGAGACCAACAAGAAGTCTACTGTAATGGTCTAGGTGTGAGGTGGTGAGACCCAGATAGATCATTTTGTCTTCCATTTTTTTCCCAGAATATTCAGGAAAAAAAAGAAAATCCGCCGTTCTCTCTCTGAGCTATTCAATCTCAGTGCCTCTAACCCTTGGCTTCGTCAAGGTGTTTTTAGTGATATGGACTCTTCCCCAGGAGAAGATGTATGGATTGAAGGAGCCAGTAACCTTGAGGATGTTTATCAGTTATACAAGGATGGTAATCAAGGTACTCTCTCTCTTTTTTTTCTCTCGATCTCTCTCATCTTCCGTCTAATCTTATTTTCCCTACTACATACAAACATGCATTATTTTTCCCAGCTTAAAAATAAATTCTACCTTGACTGATGTCAATCCGTCAAGTTATCATCATATATCTCTCCTTCTGTTCATAGCCAAAATTCTCAAATAAAAGTCATTTAAACTTGTCTTCATTTCCACATCTTCCACTCACTTCTCAACCCTTACCAACAAGGCTTCTGATCCCCAATCCCACTACTTTATTGAAATTTATCCCTAAAGTTATCAAGAATCTCTTGGTCACTAAATTTGATATCTCTTTCTCAGTCTTCATCCTCCTTGACCTTTCCATATCTTCTAATACTGTTGGTCACTTCTCCTCTTGGATGCTCTTTCCTCCTGAAGATTTTGTGATGCTACTCCTTCCAGATTCTCCTCTTACTTGGCAGATTTCTTTCTATTCTTTTTTATTGGATCATCATTCATGCCCCACCCACATCAGAGATGGCACAAACAAGCTCTGTCCTGAGCCCTGTTCTCTTTTCTATATCATCTTTAGGTAAACTTATTGCTTCCCTTAGGTTCAATAATCATTTCTATTGAAATCAATAGAATCAAATCTACATATACTAATCTCTCTTCTCAGCTCCAGGACCATATCAACAACCCCTCTACTTCAATGTTCCACCTCAGACTTAAAAATATCCAAAATGGGACTCATGATATTCCCCACTAAATATGTCTCACATGCAAACTTCCTCTATTTCTGTGGAGGGCACCAAAATCCTTATAGCACCAGGTTTGCTTCTTTGGGATTATCCTTGAATCCTCACTTTCCTTTAACCCCCAAATAAGTTGTCAGCTCTATTGATTCTCCCTTTATAGTACCTTTCATATCTGTGCCCTTCTCTCCACTCCCAAGTTCTGGTTCTAATCACCTCTTGCCAGAGCTATTATACTAACCTCCTAATTGATCTCCCTATTTCTACTCTCCTCTCCAACCCACCCTTCACACAACAGTTGAAATACTCTTTCTAAAGCTAAGGTGTGACCATTTCACTCACTTCTTTGGTGGCTTGCTATTATAAAATATAGCCTCTTTGGTATTAAAAGTATTCCTTGATTTAAATCTGTCTCTAGCTTTATTTTCTAATCTTATTTAACATTATTCCTCTTTGCACATCTACATTTCAATCTACATTTCAATGAAAATTATTACTTGCTTTTCCCTAAAGTCAATGTTCTGTCTCCCAACTTTACATAGTCTATCTCCCATTCCCAGAATGCAGTCCCTCTTCACCACTACCTAGTACAATTCTTAATCCTCAAGGCTCAACATAACCTCACCAAATCCTATGGAAAGCTTTTGACACTTATTAGCTGTGTGACCCTGGGCAAGTTGCTTAACCTCTTTCAATCTCAGTTTCCTTATTTGTAAAATGGGGATAATAAGATAACCTACCCTTACAAGGTTGTTACAGGAATCAAATGAGAACATACATATATATGCGTATATATGTATGAATGCATGTATTATGTAAAGCACTTTGCAAACCTTAAATTTCAATATTAATGTTATCTGCTATTGTTATTATTCAGAGTAGAGACTATTTTTTCTATTTTATATCCACAATGTCCCTGTATATAAGTGCTTAAAAACTGAAAAATGCATTTAACTCAACTTTCTCAAATTTAATACACATTTTTTTTCTCTTACATGCAACATAATAGCATCAATAACGCCTGGAAACTTGATATTTTATATACCCCATAGGATGTTGTATGGTGTAATAATAATAGCACCATAGCCTTTAGGTATGCAAAGCACTTTATAAATATTATCTTATTTGATCTTCACAGTAGCCCTAGGAAGCAGGTGCTATTATTATTCCCACATTTCAGAAGCAGACACTGAAGCAGACAGAGGTTAAGTGACTTGCCCAGGATCACAAGTGTCTGGGGCTGGATTTTTAATTCAGATTTCCTGTCTACAGGTCCAACACCCTATCCACTGCTCCACCTACCTGCTTCATACAATTGATAGAGCCCTGGACCTGAATTTGTGTCTTGGTTAGCTGTGTAGAAATCACCTAAGAGGCTGTTTGTCCTAACTTTGCATTCCAAGGAAAATCCTTTACTGAGAAGTGACATGATGCCCTTTACAGCTAATTTTTCAGTCTCTGCTTAAATATTTCCAGGGTCAGAACTGTTTCAGACTGTTCATTAGAAAGTTCTTATATATGTTGAACCAAAATCTATCTATTCATAACTTACCTAATAATTCTAGTCTATAGAACAATCTCATTTCTTCTTCTGTACAACAACCCTTTAGACTTATGAAGATTACTTTCATGTCTCTCTTTAGCTTTCTTTTCTCTTGCCTCCATTTAGTATGTCTAAACAATTTGAGAGCAATTTATCTCTGGCAATGAAGGACATGCAAAAGGTGCCTTATTATACTTCTAATGACTTTGGATACCTCTTAAGTAAAACAATCCAACGGCAGCTCTCAGAAATCACCCATTAGTTAACAAGGGCACGAAGTACATTAAGGTCTCTCATCACAGATGTCAATTTTAATCAAATTTTTCCTAGCCTTTCCTAGCCTCTGAAAGATCACATCTTTCACTGGCATTTCCACCCCCTATAAATCTATATCTATATACACACATATATACACACACACACACACACACACACACACACACACATATATATATATATATGCTAGCTGAAGGCCTCAAAATAAACAACTGGAGTAAAATGCATTTGTTTGTCTTTTCCCTATGCTGCACATGCAATCAAAAATTATTTCCTGACAATTTTCCCCCTGCTTCAATTTTTCTCCTCTGATGGTTGGTGTTTTTCTTTTTTTGTCTCCTCCAGTTCAGTAATGTCCTCAGCTCACCCCTTTCCCAGTTGCATTGAAAAATCACTTTGCCCTGTTAGTTTCAATTCATTCTTCATCCCATATTTTGCATTCCCTCATCCACTTTAATACAGAGATGCAGGAAGTGGATGGGGGAGAGAGAGAGAGAGAAGGGGAGAGACATAAGCTCGTGAGGGAAGGAGGGAGTAGGCTGGATTTGTGCACTGGCTACTAAACAGGAAATCTTGTTTTGTTTGTGACTATGACACTAAAGTGAATATAACCATAGGTATTTCATATTACTTCAATATTGGTGCCTCAATTTCCTCATCTTTAAAACAGGTTAAGATACCTAGTATCATCAACTCAGAAAGAGAAATTATTGGGTACTATATCTCTCTTCTATTGTACCTTTGCTATGAAGAGGGAAATGTGTCAGACAAACCAGTTAAGCAACTTACTATAATAGATGAAACACTGAACTTGTAGTCAGAAGACTCAAGTTCAAATTTTAGCTCTGCTACTTACTGACTAGATGATGTTGAGCAGATCATCTCATCCATCTGAGCTTCTGTTTCCTCATCTGCAAAGGGAAGGTTTGTAAAATGTAATTAATTCAAGTTGAGTTGAATTGAATGAGGAAGAAAAAGAGGGGTATATTTAAAGAGACTAATTTGGAGAATCAGAGGCTGCTCCAAAAAGTTCAGATTTAATAAGGTTACATACAGAAGATGGAATGAAGATCATATAACCTGTCTGAACTTTTGAAGAAATATTGGGGATTAGGGTCTATGCTTGCAGAATGGTCCATAGACACCCCCCTCCCCAAATGTGAATAATGTGAAGAAATTTGGCAAGGAATACTAGTCTACAGCTTAGTAGGCAATAGGATTGTGTGGAAAGGGTGTTGAATTGGGAGTCAGAGAACCTGGTTTTGAGTTCTGGCTTGACTGCTTATTATCTGTGTGATTTTAGGGAAGTCCATTAATCTCTCCAGATTTTAGGCTCCACATTGTAAAATGAAAGGGTCGGACTAGATGACCTTTCAAGTACATTCCAACTCCAAGTCTGTGTTCTAAGAATCTTGAATACAGCTTCTACCAACTCCTTCATATCATGATACTTCACTCATATTATTGTACTTTCTTTCTGTATATTAGACCTTGAACTCCTTTCACTTCTTCAGATAGATATGCAATTGAACTCAGAAAAAGAAACTGTCCTTTATCTAAAGTATCTTCTATGGGTTTCAAGCAGACTGCAGGCTTGCTCCTATAATTTCACAAAATCAAATATTATAAAATCACAGAAATTAAGAGTTGGAAGGGACCCCAGTGACCATCTAGTGCAATCCATATATACTATAAAAGTCTCCACTATAACATTCCCATCAACTGGATGTCTAGCCTCTATCTGAAGATACCTGAGGAGGGGGGAACATGCCACCTCTTGAGGAAGATCATTCTTCAACAATGGAATGGACAAATGAATATAAAAGTATAACATAATCTGTTAAGAATAGTGCTAGGAAGACTAAAGCCTGAAGTGAGCTGGGGCTTGTGAGAGATGCTAAGAAAAAAGGTTTTTTTAAAAAAAGAAAACAATGTTAGGTACAAGAAGTAAAATTTTATCATGGGATAATAATAATGGATAAAAGAGAATGACACAATTCCTTTTGTTTTCTCTATCAAGAATAATGATTTTCAGAATGAAAGAGAATAAAAGTGGTTAACAGTAAACTAAAACCCAAAATAATTGAGGAGATGGTAAGAAAGCACCTAGCTATACACTTTATGAGTTCAAGTTGCATGATTTAGAGAATTCCATCTGAGGGTACTTAAACAACTTGAAGAGGTGATAGATGAACCACTGCTGAATCAAGCTGATGACTTTTAAGAATGGAAGAAAAAGAACAGATAAATGCCCTTATTTTTCTCAAAAAGAAGAGAGGAAGGAGGTAAATAAAAGAAACCTGTTAGTGAGTTTTGGGGTTATCTTCTAAAATAGCTTATTAGAAGACTGGCTTGTGAACATTTAGAAAGTGATGATAGGTAGGAGCCAACATAGATTAATCAAGAACAAGTCACTGTAGGTCAACCAACCCTCGTTTCCTTTTTGATAGGGTCATTAAACAATTGGATCTAAGGGGATAACCATAGGCATAACACAACCGGATTTGGGCAAAAAAACAAAAACAAAACCCCCAAAATAAAACTTTGACAAAGACTCAGTATTATATTCATGGCAAAGTAGAACAATGTGGACTGGTTGATAAATGCAATTAAGTAGATTCAGAATTGGTTGAACAACTGGACTGAAAGAGTGGTGATGATTGAAGTGATGCTAACTTTGAGAAAGGTGTCTTCTGGATTTTGATGGAACCCAGTTTTTAGTCCTATGTTGTTCAACATTATTATAAATGATTTGGATGAAGTGTTACATGGCGTGCTTATCAAATTGGGGCAGGGAGCAAAGTTTGAAGAGGACACTAAAATGGCAGAATCACCTTCGGAAAGGACTTCAGCAGTTTATATAAAGAACCCAATCTAACAAGACGGAATTTGGTGGGCAGACACATAAAGTTCAGCACTGAAGTTCTGGAAGTCACAGGATCATAGATATTGCACTAGAGGGACATTGGAGATTTAATCCAACTACTTCATTTTATAGTTGAGGAAATAGTCTCAGGGAAGTTAAGTGACGTATCCTAAGTCATACAGGCAGTAAGACGCAGAGCTGGGACTTCAGCCTAGATACTCTGACTTCAAATCTTGAGTTCTTATCACTTCACTACCCAAATGAACTGTACTAGGGCAGAAGAGGGAAGATGTATGTTGATTGCAGTTCATATGGAAAAGGCCGATGACTTTAATCAGAGCAAGTTCATTATGAGTCACAATTATGATGTGTTTGCCAAAAAAAAACTAATGTGATTTTAGGCAAAATTTTTTGAAATGTAATGCACAGAACTGGAGAATTGATAGTTCTCTGATATCTGCTGTCTTCTTGGCAACCACCAGAGAGGTCTCTCAAAGCTACTTTATAAGGTGGCATATGGCAGCTCCATAGTGGGGTGGGGCTAGGGGGCAGGGCATGAATACCCTTTTCTTTGATTGTATATCTAGTCTGGACAGGAGTGCTCCAGTCCACAATGGGGAAAATTGGTCCTGTTATATTCTGTTGACTATCTTGGAATAAATATAAATAATGATGAATCTTATTTTTCAGTGATAAAAAGGGAATAAGGTATGTGATACCACCTGGTGTGAGATACCCACTAATCATATTGTATCAATTTAGTGAGTGAAAAACATTTCCAAGAGAGAAAAAAAGGAGAAGGGAATATAGCACCCACTGAGTGTCTGACACTGTATTAAGTGCTTTAGTAACAGTATCTCATTTGACACCCACTGTGGTTGGATATGAACTCAAGTCTTCCTGACTCAGCCCAGGACTCTATCCTCTATGCCACTCAGTTGCCTAATTAGAGTTTTTCTGCTTGGCCACAATGGGTGTCTATAGATGGAAATTACAAGAAGGAAGATTTTAGCTTAATATAAAGACAAATTCCCCGACATGGAGCTTTCTTAAAAATGGGAGGCACTGCCTAAGAAGGATCACAGAATCATATAATTTGAGACTTGAAAGGGGCCTTAGCAGCCATCTAATGCTCTCCATACATGGAAGAGATCCTCACCATAATTACATACGTGAAAAGTGGTCATCCAGGAAGTAAATTCTATTATTAGTTATCTTCAGTAGGAAGCTGGATAGTCACTTATCTGTGATGTTACAGATAAGATGTATCCTTGGATGAGGTGATCTCTGAGATCCTTTCCAACTCTGAGATTCTAAGAAATGCTTTAGAACATACAAATATGCAAATCAGTTAGCCAGTTACAATAATACCACTATGGTACTTGGAAAATACTTTTCATTCTATCTCGAAATTAAGTAAGACTACTTTTTCTAGCGCACCAAATGAAGAATTTATGTAGTTGAGAAATTTAGTCTTTATAAAACTGGCACCAACATTTGCATGAGGGAAAGAACACTAGATCAGGGGTCAGAGAAACTGGGTTTGAATCCAGCTCTGAAACTAGTTCTATGACCTTGGGCAAATGATTTTCCTTCCTGGGTTGTGGTTTCTACATCTGTAAAATGAGAATGTTGGACTCATTGACCTCTAAGTTCTTTTCCAGCTGTGATCCCATGGTCCTACAAAATAGCAATAACAATAGTAGTTTTTTGTTGTTGTTTTTTGGAAACAGTACCATTAGATAGGATAAAGAGAAAGAAAAGGAGAGAGAGAAGGAACAATTAGAATCGTATGAGGAAAATCAAAGGAGTGTAATGTTTTTGAAGCCATAGGAGGAGAGAGTATTCAACAGGATGGAATGGCCAATCATTTCAAAACTTTCAGAGAGGTCAAAGATGATGACTGAAAAAAGAGTATTTGATTTGGTCATTAGGCAGTCACCTTTTAAGGGAAAAATGGTAATTGGATGGATTATAAGAGTTATAGGAAGGCTCTTTTTAGGTTCAGGGAGACTTGAGTATGTGAATGGATATGGTGACTGGGACAAATTTTCTCCAACCTTCATGTATGTGGACAATAATCCCCTCCTGCCCTGCTGATGGTTGGACAGTGACTCAGAGTGGAGCAAAGAGAGGAGACAACTCTATGAGCAATTCTGTGAGCTGGTGCTCTAAGCCCTCAGCTTTGTATACATTTAGTCTTTCCATTAACTCGCTACATCACCAAGGCAACAGTGTGACTGTCCCTTCCCTTTCTTTCACCTCTTACTCTGCCCTTTTGTCATTTCTTTTTTTTTTCCTTTGAGACTTTCCTGGGTATTCATTTTAACCTCCCTTCTGGATAAAGATGTTGGGGGTGGAAATGTTTAGTGTGATTAACAAAGATCCTTTCTTACTAGAGTTGGACATGAGGCCTGGATACCCTCTCTGAGTGGTTATGTTCACTGCCATAGCAGTGAATACCAGGTCTTTGGGAATTTCAACACCTTTTCTTGTTGGCTTGATTTCACTATAGTTCCATTCCTCAGAGTGCTATATGACACTTTATTATGTGTGCGTACACTTGTGGGCATGCACATACAACCACAGGCTTTGTTTTTCCAACAGGTCATTCTGAATTTTCTTCTGCATCTCAACCATGGTTGTCAGAAAAACAAACTCCAGAATCTGCTGAAATCTCATCATCCATCAATGTAGTCCTTCAGCATTCTAAAGAGAATCTGGGTGTTGTGCCTTCTCAGTCCCAACTGATTATTCCTGAACATTTCCAGGAGGGAATTTTACATCATTCAAGTGAGTCAAAAGGTTTCATTTATCCAAAGTGTCTCATTTTAGTTTGTCTTAGTCTACCTCTTTAGGGAAAACTAGGTGGTGCAGTGGATAGAGGGCCCAACCTGGAGTCAGGAAGATCTGAATTCAAATTTACCTTCAGACACATACTAGCTATGTGACCCTTGGGCAAGTCACTTAACCTCTGTTTGCTTCAGTTTCTTCATTTCTAAATGGGAATAATAAAAGCACATACCTCTCAGGGCTGTTGTAAGGATCAAATGAAATAATTGTGAAGTGTCTGGTACATAGTAAGTGCTCTGTGAATGTTAGCTATTAGCTATTACCCCCTAGGAATTCTTCCTCCTAATATCCCTGACATGTACATCACCAGAGAGGGGAAGTGTGGCATGGTACAGTGCTGGCCTTTGGATCAGGAAGACCTGATCTCTGATACATACCGGTTGTGGCCCTGGGCAAGTCAGTCAGTCAATCTCTCATTGCTCTAGGCAATTATGTATGACTAAGAAGTGTAGAGAAGGCACTCCCTGCATTGGTAGGAGGAATCTACTTAGCTGAGACTGCTCTATATTAATGAAATTACAGATCCATTCCCTATCCTCTGTCCTACACATTATTAGATCTAGAAGGGATGTGAGATGCCATTTCATCTAAGCTCTTAGTCATACATGTGTCTACATAAATATGTAAACATGCATGTTTTACGCACATGTGTAAACATATATGTTCACATGGATGCATAAACATCTATGTACATGCATACATAATTGCCTCTCCCCTCTTCAGTATAGTAATTTATTTATCATAGGATCATAGATTTAAAGCTGGAAGGGACATTGGAGGTTATATATTCAAACCCCTATATTTTACATCTGAGGAAACTGAAAACCAGAGTGGGAAAGTAATTAACCCAAGGTCACACAGGTAGTAAAAAGCAGACCTGGAACTTAAAACCAGGACTTCTGACTCCTATGGCTTTATCCCTATTCCATGCTACCTCCAGTGTACCCCCACAACACAACACAACACAACACAACACAACACAACTTTAAGGCCTTCCTTATAACAACAAAACCAAACCAAAAAACAGGCAAATATAACTGACAAATATGATGTTCTGCACTCTCAGCCTCCCCTCTTCCCTTCTTCTGTAACCCAAAGAAGGTAAATGTGTTTCATTATTTTTTTTTCCTATGGCCAAGATTGGTCATTACAATTAAGCTCTAGGCGTTTTTATTTAAACGCCTAGAGTAATATTGTTGTGTAATATTGTGTCATTATCCACTTTCTCCCCTTTGCTTTCCTACTATGAATTAGGGGAAAAAATAGTCTTTTCCCTAAAAGTCTTTCCTACCACAAAAAAAAATGCTACTAGGGTCATTAGTTCAAAGATTATGAACAATTTAATGAAGTCTTATGTAATTCCAAAGTGTTTGGACCACTTAACATTTGTATTATATATGTTTTATCACAATTCCTCATCACATTGATTATTTCTGTTTTTATATTTTTAACCAATTTGATGGTTATGAAGTTAAATCTCAGAACTGTTTTTATTTATACATCTCTTACAGTTTGTGATTTGGAACACTTTTTTCAGATGACATTCTATAGTTTATAATTTTTCTTTAGAAAACTATTTATAACTTTTCTTACCCACTCATGACACTTACCTGTTAGGATTTTCTTTTGAAAAAAATTAATTTTACATCAAAATTGTCAAAACTATCTTTTTTTGTCATTGTCTCTCTCATTTAGTGATGATTTTACCCTTCAACCATAGATCTGAAAGGTACCTTCTTTCATTCCCCTACCCGATTTTTTTTATAACATTACCTTTTCTTCAACCCCTTCATTTTTATGGAGGAGTAAAGTAAGGCTCAGAGAAGGTAATTACATATGACCTGAGGTCATATAAGGAGTGATCAGTAGAGTTGGGAACTGAGCTCAACTCTCTTGACTCTGAGGTCAGCGCTATTTCTCCTGCACTATTCTGTCTTCCTAAAAGCTACCCATCTGGAAATAACAACAACTTGTACCCAGATAGTAGAAAATAGGTTTGTTGTAAGGGCTGGTCTTACACATAGGTAGCCTGGGTGGCTGCCTAGATGGTATAATTTTTGGAACTCTAGAAAGTCGTATTATCACTCAAAATTTCCTCTCTCAATCAATCAAATCAATAAAGTTCATCAAGCACCTGCTATGTGCTAGGAGTTGGGAATAGATAGACAAAATATTCTAAAGCCTGCCCTCAAGGAGCTAACATTTTATTGGGGAAGACAATATATTGTATATGAGTACATAAAGATTAATGCAAGATAATTTTCAGGAAGGAAGAATCTGAAGCCAGGAGTATTAGGAAAAGCTTCATGGAAAAAAATGGCCCTTGGCATTTGAGTTGTGATTTGCAGGAAACTACAAATTCTAAGAGATGGAGGTTCAGAGCATATCTCTTCTAGGCATGGGCCTAGCCTGTGAAAAGGCATGGAGATGGGAGATAGAACGTTACATGTGATGAACAATTAGAAGATTAATCTGTCTGGACCATATAGTGTGTGAAGAGGAATAAGATATAAGACAGCTGGAGAGATAGGTTGGAGATTGTCTATGAAGGGTTTTAAACAGAGGGGTTAGTATTTAATCCTAGAAACAAGAGGAAGCCACCGGAATTTAGCCCCTTATGTGTTAAGTAGGCTTTCTGAGCTCACCCGGGAACCTAACTACCACTCCTCATTTTGTTTTATGGGGAAATGTATTCAAGTTCCAAATGATGGATATAATTTTTTTAAAACACTATCTATTTGTAAGTTGAGGACCTTTTGTGGTTTCATTTCTCTCCTTCCCTCTCATCAGATCCATCTTGATTTACATTTGGTCATCAGTGTGTGTGTGTGTGTGTGTGTGTGTGTGTGTGTGTGTGTGTGAGATTGTCTTATCAAAAGTGCTCTCATGCCTAAATCTGCTATAATCACTTCCCCACATAGCTGCAAATTGGTGCTTGATCACTGAGGACAATTTTGTGGTTGAGCAATGAAAATCTGATGTTATCATAGTTTGCAGTCCCCTTAAGAGATGCTTATTTCCTTAGAGACTCACAGCAGATGAAGTTACAATCTCCTTGGTCCTGAAAGATGCCATTCAAAGAAAAATGTTTTGCACTGACACTTTCCTGACTGATTCTGCTATACCTCCTCTTACACCTGTCACCTCAGACAAATGACTTCCCCTATTTGGGCCTATTTTCCTCATCTACAAAATGAAGATGATATGCATCTAAGTTGAATTCCAGTCTTTGTATAATATTATTATAGATGTTGTTGTCATTTTTCAGTTGTGTCCAACTCTCTGTGACCTCATTTAGAGTTCTTGTGAAGTGGTTTTCCATTTTCTTCTCCAGCTCATTTTCTAGATGAGGAACTGAGGCAAACAGGGTTAAGTGATGGTTACACACAGCTTGTAAGTGTCTTAGGCTGGATTTGAACATTTGAAGATGAGTCTTCCTGATTCCAAACCCAGTGCTCTATTCATTGCACCACCTCACTGCCCATTATTATAGATGTTCTTATGAAAGTCTTCCTTCTTGTACCTTGATGTCCACCGCTACTCATGAAAAGAATCAGCTTTAAAAAGGCAGCCAATGTAAGATCCCATGCCATCTTGCCTCATAAATTCTGCCTTTCCCAGGGCTATAACCACACAAAAGCATTTGGGGAGCATTGTACCTGGGGAGCTGATGGGGCAGCCTATGGCTCGGTGGATAGAGCACTGGGCCTAGAGTCAGGAAGACCTGAGTTCAAATTTAGCCTCAGATACTTTTTAGCTTTGTGATGCTAGGCAAATCACTTAACCTCTGATTACCTAACAAAATGGATCCACTGCAACCAATGGAGAAGGAAATGGCAAACCATTCCAGTATCTTTGCCAAGAAAACCTTAAATGGGACCATGAAGGGTAGAACATATCTGAAATGACTGAACAACAAGTACCATTTGGGGATTTTTAGACCTCTCCCAATTACTTTTATTTTTATGTAATCCATAACTATTTCAAATGTTTCTTTGCACAGAACTCTGATCACTAGGGATGTTGAAGGCAATTAAGCTAATACTTTTAAAGTTCTTTGGACTTACTTGGATAAAATATGTTGTGTAGCATAAAGCCGATTTATTGACATTCCGTGAAGTTCAAGATAGAAACTATATTAAAAAAAAAGCTATAAACTCTTCAAGGAAAATCATTCATTTTGCCATGCTATAGAGGACTAATTTATAGTAGAGAGCTCTCAAAGTAAAGGATTGTATCCAAAAGTTAATAGATTTATGTGTCTTAATTCAACAAATTCCAATTCACCCACAGACATTAACAGTATACTGTGTGCCCATCACTGTCCTAGGTGGTATGGAATCTATCTGCATTTAGATAGGACACAATTCCTTCCCTCATACATTTCACTGTCTAGTAGTGAGATAAAGCACAAATACAGAGGTGAGGATGAATGGAGTTCCCCCTCATTGAAAGTCTTCAAGCAAAGACTGGTTGAACACTTGTCAGGTATGCTATAGTGGGGGTTCTTTCTTTGTATGGATTGGGCAAGATGGACCCAAAGGTCCCTTCCAAATCTAAAATTCTGTACTTCTCTGAAGTACTGTTTCATGATGATTGCATTAGAGAGATATAGAAAAAAGTGCTACGTGAGGAGGTTTGAGGGGGAAGATAATTACTAACCAGGCATATCAGGGTAAGCCTGAGGGAGGAAATAGCATTTAATTTGGGATTAAAATTCTAAGTATGACTTCAGTAGGAAAAGGGGAAGTGAGATTGCATTCCATGCATAGGGAAGAGTGTGAACAAAGACACAGAAAGGACAAAAGCACAGAATGTTTTCAGGGTATAGATGAGATATTTGCAAATAATATTTCCAAAGGAGACATAAGACTGGGAGAAGGAACGTCAATGCATTTAATAATAAACATTTATCATTATTAACCATTATTAAATTACCATTATGTAATCATTTATAATTTATTTTAATAATTTCAAGACTATTTAATAACAAGCAATGCTTCTCAATTATTTTTTTCTCTTTTCCTTTTAGAGTCCAATACATTTCAAGAGGTCCTTTTTCCAGTAATCATGTTCACAACATGCTTAATCATTTCAGCATGTACAAGGTAATTGCTATTTTAATTTTGTTGGTATTTGATGAGTGATTAATCTGTGATATTTAAATAATGGATCTTGAGGCGTGACTTTCGTCATCTGTTCTTGTCCATTCCCAGTCTCAACTTATTGACAAATCAGACATTGCAAGGACAGAGTTCCTTAGAAAAATGGATCAGAAACTTACTAGTACTTGACATTCCCAGAATCATTGCTCTGAAGGAACCTCTTCTTCTAGTTTGGTTAATCCCTGGGCTTAGTGTAATCAGCAAGGAACAGAGCTTATTGGGCTTGGTAAAGCTGCTCCCAGGTTGTGAGGATGTTTTGGAATTCAGCTGAAGGAGTTTTAGATCTACAAGCTGAGGATAATTTGTTTACAGGCTTGATATCTGTATCTTAGTACACCTGGAGATCTTAGCTGCTGTCTTGGCAAGTTCGTAATTATAGTAAGCTCCCAGTGGCTATTATCATTTAACTTCTCCGATCCACGAACCTCAAAGACAGCCAGGAGAAATTGCTGAGGTGCTGCCCATGGTTCTAATATGGCTGCCAGAGACATAGTGCAGCTAACTCAGTTTAGAAGTCAGACCAAGTGTTTTGTGGCTGATGCACCTGAAAGGAACAAAACCACCCCTGTAATCTAGCTGTTGATATTGAGGTCTATGGAGAAGGAGCAGTGAGTCTATCAGCACCTTGGAGGTAATGCCTATAAACAACTAAAACTAGAGAAAATGTTGCTGGTTGCCTATGTTCTCTTTCAGGGTACTGAGGGTTATTTCAGAACTATAAATCTTGGTGCACATTTAGAAAGCATGATTCTTGGTATTGTGCATTCTATATATCCTAACTTGAGAAAGGATTGGTATATTGTCTTCTGTGTAGGCAAGATCCTTCTTTTTCTAAAGAATGATTTAATTTTATAAATTAGGTTCAATCAGTCAGTCACTAAACATGTATTAAATGCCCACTATGTACTGGACACAGTGCTAAGCACTGGGGACACAAAGAAATGCAAAAAAAAGTCTCTACTCTCAAGGAGCTCACAGTCTAAATGAGGGAGACATGTAAATATGTACAGACAAAATGGCAACTAGGTTGTACAGTGGTTAGAGCACCAGGCCTGGACTCAGGAAGATCTGAGTTCAAATCCGGCCTCAGATACTTACCAGTTATGTGACTCTGGACAAATCCCTTAACCCTGTTTGCTTCAGTTTTCTCACCTGTAAAATGAGCTAGAGAAGGAAATGGCGAGCCACTTTAGTATCTTTATCAAGAAAATTCCAAATAGGGTCATGAAGAGTTGGATATGACTGAAATAACTCAACAACAACAACATGGACAGGATATATACAAGATAAATTGGAGGTATTCAACAGAGAGAAGGGACTAGAATTAAGGGGGATCAGGAAAGACTTCCTTAGAAGGTAGAATTTTCACTGAAATTTGAGGGAAGCCAGGAAAAATTTACGTGATATAGTGACAAAACCATTTAAATATTCAACCTTAGGGTAAAGTCCACCTTGGCTAGAGTCCATCTAGGCTCTCAAAACATTCTGGGTGATGAGATGGAATCTTGGAAAAGCCATAACCAAATTAAAGCTAAAGCTGCTTCTTAAAAGCCTTCTCATTGTGCTTGACCCTTATTAGAACATTAACACCTTACCACACAAGGATAATATTAAGCACTATCACAAGACACCATTTGTCCAGAGAAGGGATACCAAAAAACCCACATTATCTTTCTCCCCTAGCTACTTCCTTTCCACTTAGCACTCTATGAAAGAGGTGCAAAACATAACCAATTCAAGAAAGTCTCTCTTGGGAAGGGAAGGAGCTAAGCATTTATTTGGTATCTGCTATGTGCCAGGCACTGAACTAAATGCTTTACAAATATTATTGGATATAGGAAATCCAAAAGGGCCATCTCCTCTGTCTTCTGTCTGTGGTGCCCTTCCCAGGTTCACTGTTTGGAGACAGACAAGCCTTAGTCTACTGGTACATTTCCAGTGAGGTTCTAGAATTGAAGTACCTATTGTATCTGGATATTATAAAGGAAGAAGGATATCCCAGTGCCACCCTACCTCCAACCCAATAGTAGGTACTATGGTGATCATTTTTTTAGTCTGTCACATCATAGATTCCCTAGGTGTAGGGAGCAGCCACAAATGATGTTCGTAGGATGATAGCAACCCTTCCAGCTTCCCATACTCAGCCAGAGCTGTGCAACTAAATGTACATAAAATTTCAGCCTCAAAATTACCTTTCCATCAGAGAAAGAAGGCACCAATTCCAACTCCTATATGAATATGTAGGTCATGCTTTGTTCATTCCTTACTCTGCCTATTTCTGCCTTACCCGACTGCTTTGCTATGAAGAAACTTCTGCCCTGATATGCTGATTGCTGACTGCCCCTCATAGACCATTGTTTCAGGAAAGTCCCAGCCACCATGCCTCACTTCCTTCCCTGCTCCCTGACTATCTCCTACTTGACAAACACCTTGCCCCTGTGCTCTTATCCTATCCTCCCTTCCTCTTCTCCACAGTTTTGGAACAATGAACCATGATTAAATCAGCTCTTACATTGTTCACAAATGAGGTGTGTCAATCTAATCTCCAATTCTGCACTATCCATAACTATAACTTTCTCCAGGCCCAACTGCCCCTACTTTTGTATATTATTTTTCCTGTTGGAATACAAGTGCTTTAAGGATGAGGACTAACTATACATACATATATATATACATATATATGCATATATATATGTGTGTATATATATATATACACACATATATATATTATTTGGAGCTCTTAGCACTGTGCTTGGTTCATAACAAATGCTGAATACTTTTTTTTTCATTTGTTCATTCATTCATTCATCCAGGTTCACCTAGCTAGCACTTCACGAACTAACCCCACCCTTACTAAAGAAGGTTGAGAATAATTCTTCTATGTTTTTCAGGTTGTTTTGTAGGTTCACAATATAATCTTACCTCTTGACTCTACTCCCTCCCCCAGTTCAGCATGAAGAAAGCTAAGACTTTCTTTGAACTGAGTGGGTGAGCAAGAAGAAGAATGAAGGCAGCCCAGTGATACAGGCTATACCTGAAAGCTGGGCATATTCTGCCATGGCAGCTTCTTCAGGTCCTTATCTACTACTGGTACTATGTGCCATTGCTCTGCATTGTCCAGCTCTGTATGTCTGTTTGTGGGACTCTGGTGGATGTGCCACTGGGGAATGGAAGTTATCAGGGCTTGATAGGGGATTTTGACAGTTGACCTGCAAATGAGTCAGTGGCTGACTCAGCTCATAGGATTTAAGTTAACACCTCCTAATTATGGTTCTGACCACTTCTATAAAAACAGTGTTCTACAAGGGTAGTGAACCTACAGCCTTGAGGCCACATGTGGCCCTCTAGGTCCTCAAGTACAGTCCTTTGACTGAATCCAAACCTCACAGAACAAATCCCCTTAGTAAAAGGATTTGTTCCTGTAAAACTTGGACTCAGTGAAAAGGCCATATCCGAGGACCTAGAACACATGTGACCTCAAGGTTTCAGGTTCCCTGCCTCTATCCTAGAAGTTTGGAAGTAGGGGATTAGTCAGCACCACAGGTAAGTTACTCCTTCATAGTGGGTCCTCAATGTCATTTACCAATAAAAAACACAAACTATAAGGAAGGTACTAATCATCACCTTAGCTCTCCAACGCATATTGGATAAAGTGAAAATTCTTCCGTCTGGTATTCAAGGCCTTTTAAAATCTGATCTCATCCTTTTCTGCTTACCTTATCTTCCATAACTCTGCTCTGACCAAAGGAATATAAATTTTGATGGCTGAAATCTCACAAGATATCTTGGGGTTTACAGCCTAGATTTCTTTTTTTAAGGACCATGTCTTATACATAAATCACTCTGACTTTCACAGATGGGCCAACTGTAGGTCCCAGCCCAAGCCTACCTTGGTCATTGTTTGGGTTTGGATGGACCAGAGTGAATGTAAATAACAATTGTTTCTGTTTTGGCCAGAAACCCATAGGGTCTTCTTCTCCCAGATTGATTTTTCTTTTGACTAGGTAAAAGAAGTTTTTTTTTTGCCTCCTTTCTTACCTAGCATTAATGGGTATTGCCTTGGACAAGCTGAGATCTGGGAAAGACCTTAGCTTTAAAAAGCCATCTCCAGTGGTCCTGATCTATATCTTGCTGCTGAACCCAGATGGCTCAGGAGGAGAGAATGAGGCTGGTGACTTTGTATGGCTCTGCCTCACTTAAATCTAATTCACTTGTAAGTCATGACATCACCCTCAAATGTCATGGTCCTCTTCCAGAATGAAGGACAAACAACAACAACAACAATAGCAAAAACCCTATAATCTAGTGAGGCCAGTCTTCTCTGGTCTCTAAATATAGTCATTTTCATTTCTAAGTTGTTTTTTTCCATGCTGTTGTTTCTATTTAGAATGCCATTCATTCATTTTTCCCCCCTTCCAAATCCTACCTATTCTTCAGGATACAGCTCAAGTATCTCTTTCCTGCTAAGTCTTTATGGACTATTCTAGACCACATTGATCTCACTTACTGAATTCCTATTTCATTTATTATCTGCATTAATCATTTAGATATGCAATAATATATCACTTTTGGGTGGAGTAGAGGTGGGCAGAGACCATGTCTTTCTTTGTACCTCCTTAGTGCTCACCATATTACAAATGGTAGTTTCTCAGTAAATACCTGTTAAATGAATGAATGAATGAATGAATGAATGAATATTTAATATCCCAAACACTTTTATGGATATCCTCTGAGAAAAAAGGGTCTACCTCTGAGAGGCAGTGTGTTGTCATGTAAAGAGACTGGATTGAGAATCGATACAATCTGGTTCTGGTTCAAATCCTGCCTCAGAGACTTATTTAGCTGTGTGACACTGGTTAAGTCACTTAAGCATTCCAAGTCACAGTTTTCATATCTGCAAAACAGGGATAACAGTACAGGTTATGATCAAGTGACTCTGCTCCTTGTTACCTAAGTGAATTTAGGCAAGCCATTTAATCTGTCTTTTCTTCAGTTACCTACTTCATGAAACTAGAACAGTGGTGTCAAACTCTAATAGAAACAGAGGCCACTAAACTGTACATAAGGATCCTTATGGGCTGTATGTCAACTTAGTCTTAAAATATAACATATTTATAATATATCTGTGTCTTATTGTATTTTTATTTATTTTGTTAAATATTTTCCAATGTCATTTTAACATATGTTGGGCCATATTTGAGAGCATTGTGGACCACATGTTTGATACCTGTGGACTAAATGATCTGAAGGGTCTCTTTTTAAATCCTATGACCCTATAATGGTTTGTCAGTCAACATACTAAAACATCTTAACTTTTTTTATTATATTGACCTACAAGGTCTCAAGTTTTGAATGAATGTGTGACATACAAAATAAATTAATAACAAAAAGAAGATTTCAAAGGGAATCAAGTACCAACCAAATTAAGAAAATGAGAATTGTTGAGCACGAGTTAGATAAAACTGTTAGATATATCAATAATTACATGATTCTTATCTTTTCATTAAACACATCCTTCAGGGACCACTATTTAGCCACAATGCATTTCTTTAGCTCCTTTCTATATGTATTTTTATGCATTTTGTGTTATTATGATCATTTAGCATTTGTAAAATGCTTTAAGGTTTGCGAAGTACTTCAAAAACATTATTTTATTTTATCTCCACAATGACCCACCTTACATATGAGGAAACTGAGGCAACCAGAGATTAATTAACTGACCCAGAGTCACACAGCTAGTGAATGTCTGAGGCTGGATTTGAACTCAAGTCTTCCTGAATCATAGTCTAGCACTCTATCCACTTCATTACCTAGCTGGGTCTTAATACGTTCTATAATTTAGTCTTCTCATAGGACCAGAAATTTAGAGATAGAAAGGACCTTAGAGGTAATAAAGTCCAACCATAACATGTTACAGAAGAGGAAACTGAGGCTGAGAGAGGTTAAGTGACTTACCCAGGATCACATAGACATAAATATCTGAGGCAAGGTTAGAACTCAGGTCTACCTAACTTTAAGCCTGTCACTCTATTAACTGTACCACCTATCTTATGAATTCAGGCTAGCTTAACACATTTAGAACAATTTAACCTTAACTGTTTTATAAGCTTTAAATGAATGATTTGTTAATCATTACATGATAAATTATCTATTTGAAAGTTTATCATAGGGTGCTAAAGGAATGTTTTGTGTCTAGCAGAAATCATCCCATTATCTTCCTAAATATGAGAAATATTTTTGTTGTTATTGTTGTTGTTTTTAAAGATACTCTCTGGGAGGATTATTCACTGCCCTTTTGACATTTTCACTGATGTTCATCCTAATTTGTAAGTACTTCTGTTCCTAAGAGCTGTGCTGATCTTCCTGATATCATTAGATTTGGGTCATAATGAAACTTTTAAAATGATCTCTCTTTCTCACCCAAGATCTTGTCAAGTCGCTTCTTCTCAACTCTGCCAGCTCTTTCAAAACTAGTGACCAAGCATGGTAAGTGGTGCATGAATTTTTTTACCTTAGTTTAAACTGAGTTCACCTAAATCTGATAGCTGGGGAGCAAATTTAAGACTTGTTGAGGCTGGGTCATAAGTAGCAATGAAGAGACATGGTTCACGTTCCCTCCTGAATAGCTAGATTTGCCACTGTTACGATCTAAGAAGGCTGTAAGTCTGCTTTCTAAATTTTATATCAAAACCCATCAAGAAGGCATTTCTGAAAGACTGAAAGGACCAGCATCTGACTGAAAATGTTTGGTTTAGGTACTTGAGGGCAGAGATGGCTACTGCATCTTCTTTGAATCCCTAACACTGAGCAGAGTACCTGCAACATAGTAAGAAATGCTAGTTGCCTGGCTGGTGGCTTAAAAACTTGTGGTCTTGTGTGTTCTGTGATTTCATTAATACTCCAAGTTACAAAGTCTGGGCCTTAGGGCTGATTAAACAACAGACACATTGCTATTCCTTTAATGTAGTAAAATAATTCTAGTTGCAAGTGGTGTTTTTCTCTGGCATTTAGACTCATTTAACATTTCTTGCTCTGCTGTTGACCTTTATGGTTTTTGGAAGGCTGTGCCAGTAGACTACAAAGCTCTGGCAGGCTCTACCAAGCTGGAAAATTTTAGAGAACGGTCCTGATGATAGACTATTTATTTTTCAAGGACCAGCCTAAGTTCAATGAGACTCAAAATCCGGTTGGCAACAGGGTGATTCACTTATTTCTGGCAATAGCAACTCCAAAAGTCTGGAATCATAAAGTCATAGGATTTTTTATCTCAAGCTGAAAAGGACTTTAGAGGCCATTGAATCCAATTCCCTCATTTCATGAATGAGAACACTGAAGCATAGAGAGGTTATGTGACTTGTCCTAGGTCACATAGTAAGTGTCTGAGGCAGGATTCCAGCTGAAATGTTCCTGACTCTTGGCCCAGCATTTTTTCCAGTAGATGACATACACCATAACTTTGAGAATACTTGAAGTATCAATATAAGAAGAAATATCTGGATATGTTCGTAGAATTTCAAACAGACTGTAATCCCAGGCAATGCATTTTATTCTCTAGTATGAATCTGAGCATCAAAAAATAGACGGATAAAATGTTGAACTTTATTTCAATAAATTCAGTGACTTTTTTAAATCACTGAATTTAGTCAACAATAGTCAGGAAGACCTGTGTTCAAACCTTGCCTCTAACACTTCATAGTTATATTAATTATAGGCAAGTCAGTCATCAGTATTTACTAAGTCTATACTATGTGCCAGGCATATTATGTAATAATAATTAATAAAGTATATTATCATAATATATAATAATTAAGCACTGGGGACACAAAGAAAAGCAAAGATGGCAATCCTTTCCATTAAGGAGATGTGTAAATTACTAGGTATCTATAAGATATATATATATGTATACATTACATATCTAATAGATGGAAATCTCAGATGGGAGGCACCAACAGCAAAGGGAACTAAGGAAGGCCTCATGCAGAATGCGGACCTGAGGATGAGTCTTAAAGAGAGCCAAGGAAATTGAGAGGGAGAGATCAGGAAGGAAAATATGTCAGACATGGGGAATATGCCAGTACAAAGGCAAGGAGATGATAAGAAGGAAATAAGAATTTATTTAGCACTTACTGTGTATCAAGTATTATGCTAAGTGCATAATTAAAAAGAAAAATAGCTTCTGCCCTCAAGGAGCTTACATTCTAATAGGTGGAAGATAACATTTAAAATGGAGTTGAAAAGAGAGGTCAGTGAGAAAGTATCTTTTTAGGGTTCATGATGCACACTTCTACTAATATTGTACAAGAAAATTAACCTGGGGATTCATTCAGGGTTGAGTATGTATATTAACATAATATCACAGGACTCTTGGCTTTGATAGCTATTTAATGAACTTATCCAACAGGACTTTGTCTGCTCCAAGAGCCAAGAGTTGGATGTCAGAATCTGGGCTCAGGCATTGGTGGGATGAGCCAGATTCTATTGGTTCATTCATTAACTCACTCAGTGACTAACTTTAACTTTGAAATTAGACAAACCCATTAGATTGGGTAAGAGTTCAGGAAAAATCCCAGTAGTCAGCCATAGGAGGAAGTCTGACAGGCAAGCAGGTGAAATCAGAAATGCTCAATAGTAGGAAAAATCCCATTAGCAAATAGCATCAGATGATCTGGCAGTGGGCATAGGCAGAGTTCCAGAGAGCCAGGTGGTTTGCATTAGAGAAGTCTGGCAATGGGTAATTTAAGGCCTAGCCATGGAAACTGGTGTTCAGAAGGCAGGGTTCCACTCCTTGGAAGAGTGAGGTAGAAAGGAGAGCAAGGCAAGATGTCAGTCTAAGAGATACTGGAGTACCAGGAATGGCGTTGTACCGGAAGAATCTCATTGCTTCCAACACAAAGACTCAGGAATGCCAGAGGAAAGAGCAGAAGGCTCAGAAGTTGTTATTAAGGATGTAGATGCCATATACATGGTCATCACTGTTATCTGCTGTGCTTAAGACCTCTAGCTGGTTTAGGCACAGCCCAACCAAAAAAATCTTTCCCAGAGATACACAAAACAGGGGAACTCAAACTCAGAAATAAAGCCGAAGCCTCTCAAGCTAACTGTAGAACTGCTCAGGTAACCAGTCTTCAGCTAGACTATTTTACCTGCAGAGGTCTTAATTGGCTTTCTTTCCTTCCAAAATGTTCATCTGCAGAGTCAGAGTATAAGGGCTGGGCTACATCAGCACAGATGCCTGCACTATCTCTCCATATAAGCTACATGCTGGACACCTCAGAGGAAAAAGAGATGCTGATGCCATATTTAGGGCCATTAGCAACAGCTGCTGCTTCCTGCCTGCTCCATGATTCAATTACCCTGCTTTCTTTATTGTGGTAACATGTAGACTAAGCAAGAAACTCAGGCATGGGGATGGGCAAGATGGAGACCCTGTACATAGAACTGGGGTATGAGATGGACACAGTCACAAGGAACAAATCAAGAATTTAGTTACTGGAATTAAGTTATAAAGCCAGAACTTGACCAAAAGTGAGACTTGTGATGCCAACCCCCCCAGACTACTGATTCAGGAGTCTTTTTATCTTCCCAACCTATAGGTTGTATTTGTCCCAAAATCTTGGAGTTGGTTGAACCTGCGTGTGTGTTAAATGATCTCTGTGGTAGCAGTTAAAATAAAATCAAGGCAGGAAAGTAGACATGTCAAAAGGATTATTTTAACCTTATGTCCCCCACTTCTAGGACTACATGTCACTGTGAACCCATTGGATCTGTTATTCACTCAGTGAGTATATGCACAATGAATTAGGCCCTAGATGGGGAGGGAAGGAGCAGAGAGCAAGAAGAAGGTGTTTCAAAGTAATAGAATAAGTTATGGCACAGAGGAAGAGGCTTGGATTAGAGTCAGAGGACCTGCCTTCAAACCCTCACTCTGCCAATGTAACAGCTTACATTTGTGTAAAAAGTTAGGATTTGCAAAGCTCTCTACATGTGCTGCCACATCGTATCCTCACAACAATCTTGTCAGCTAGGTATTATTATCATTGTTTTACAGGGGAAAAATGAAGACTCAGGTTAAATGACTTGCTCACAATTACATAAGTAGGAAGTGTAAGAGGGAGGATTGAAACCCAGGTTTTCCTAACTCCAAACCCTGTGTGCTATCCAATTTTCAACAATTTCTCTCGGTGTGACCTTGAATAAGTCACACTATCTATGAGTCTTAGTTTCCTTACTTGTAAAAGGAAGGGATTGGACTATAATCTCAGAGATCCCTTTTAGCTCTAAATCTAGGATCTTATTATTTCAGATGACCTTTTTAGCACCACCTTTAAAGGCAGACCCCAAAGCTGGAGGACTGAGGGAGGGATGATTGTTACTGATTGGGAGATTGGGGAAAGCATCATGAAGTTGATGGCATGGCCTACTAGACAATTAGTAAAGTTAGGGTTGGAAAGGAGAGAGAGTTTAACTTAGAGGGAATTGTGCTGTTTTTAAATGTTCAGTCTCCATCTCCTATAAGCACAATTATATTCAGTCTCTTGTAATCTATTATTTCATTCCTAGTTAACTTGAAATAGGTGTACATACCTTGTGTGTAAATTATTTTTAATCTCCAGAGTAGGTATTGCATTTCTTGTGAAGAAGAATTAATTATAGATTTCACTTTTCTTTCTTTCTCCAATCTAGATTTGACAAAGAATGAAAATAATTCCAGCACTTCTAGAGTGACTTTCTGGCATCTGAATGTTAAGAAATGAGTAGAATTACAATTAATTCTTGCTTTTCCACATCAATGGAATGAAACAACATCATGGATAATCCTAAATTTCACTTATATTTGACTATATTATTAAAAATTAAATTAGGGGTTTATCTTCCTGAAATTTAGCTTAGGATAATGTTATTTTTTTTCACCTTTTCTATGCACTTCTTGAGTAGTGAGAATAAAAGGGTCCAGAAATAGGAAAGATGTTGGACCCAGAAAAAGTGATGAGAAGAAAATTCAATTTTGGATTGAAAATACTTCCTATGTAATCTCCAATTTCAATAACATTTATAAAGTGACTATTATGTACAATGCACCATTCTAGGTATTAGAGAAGATTTAAATATGAAATAAGACACAGACCTTGCCTCTACAGAATTCACAGTCGAGTAGAAGGGTGCAACAAATATGCATGAGGAGTCTTGGTCTCTGACCAACCCCTGTCCTCTCCCCCGAAAGGGACAAGTTATTACAAGTTATTAAACTAATTATAAGGATTATGTATGTCATTATCCTGTCTATTTCCTGATCCTTTATGACATGTGAACAGTTTTCTCTGTTTGA